TCGCAGTCTCTCGTGACTTGTTTCACTTCGGAGAATTGTCGATTTTTCTGCACAAATCAAAGGCGCTCGGCCAATAGTAGTCAATTGACATTGTATAATCAGACATTTGCATGCTATTTAATATATGCGAAACATATTTATACTAACACTGTCTCTTGTTACATCTCCTGTGATACCATGTTTTAAGCAAATAAAAGTATGATAATAATATTATTACTGATAATATTACTACCTTCATTTATTTCCAAAATTAAATGGAAGTATTAAAGATTCACTGTAATCAGTCACTGATATTAATTGTATACCAATGCATACATACAAAAAGCTTACACTAATTGGAATCTGTTTAAAAATTTCTCTATGAAAATATCTTCTCTAAAAATCTTGAGGTTGGAAATGTATAGGATTTATATTTCTAAGTTTTCTCTTTGTTATACACTCTCAAATTACAGATAATTTTTTTTCAGTGCAAATTCACCTTTCGTAATATTTGAGTATTTGTAACGCAAAACAATAAATTCAAAATTTCATGTCATTCCCGGATATTCCCATATAACCTAAAAAATTCCCAAAAGGAATATTGATCTACTTTAATTAAATGTTTGCATGTCGATAATGACTTATCGAAAGATTATGGTACGAAACTAAAGAAATCCGCCATTTGTTCAATTTTTGTTTAGGTATGCACGTTCATTCCGTAGTTAGGGCAGCTCCTTTCTTTTACTTTTTTTTCCATCCTCTAAGCCTTTTTCTATAGTCTAAGTAAAAAATAGTAATTAATTACCTAATGATTATAGTCAGTAGTGGGAATGCGTCGCCTCTTTTAACCTACTTGGACCCAACAATCCTCAATTGGAAAGGCGCTAAACGCCCAATGTACGTTAGAATCTAAGGTTAGAATGTAATAAATAAATATATCAAGCTTCAGACCCAATCAAGTGTAGCTTGTTTTATAAGAAAAACTTATTTTTCTAAATACCTTATGATCATATTATAGAATATATAGAATATATACATCTATAGAGCGATATTTATATACGATTTGAATGCTATATTTTTATTTAGGCGTTTACATGTTATTACCATAGGAATAATATTTATTGTCTGGGTCTGAATCACGTCACAATATTATGTACATTTTGATGTACAGACAACGGCACACCAGAGTACACTTTTTTGTTCGAAAATCGCCTCCAGTGCAACGGATCAAGATACGTCAATGTGTAGCTAGATATGCTGGCGTGTGTACACTGGTTCTTAGTGTGTTTTATTATGTTTTCAATACATTTTCTGCTATGTACCCCATGCTACAGTAAAATCGGGAATGTAATTATTCCCAAAGCGTAACCTTGGCAACAACTCGTCAGCGATCGATACTGTCTGGTTTCGAAGGTCCCCTCGTTTTATTATGTCTAGAGCACGGTTGCAAGGGACCTATTCTTGTACAGAGCAGTATTTTGAAATAAAATTAATCTATAATAAATAATAATATTAATAATAATAGCTTCTTCAAATTAATAATATCTTAAAAAAACATTGTCGTTAGCAATAAGACGTGAGAAAATTACAACAATTTTGTAATCTCTTTGAAGACCCGCTGCGTTTTTATCGATTGTTATTTCGTTTCAACAGCTGCTATCCATTATATTTTTATTAATAATATATAATTGTTTTGATTCAATCCGAATGTAACGAAACGCCTTCTATGTTGTTTTCAATGTCAAAGTAGGGTGAATTCGCGTAATTCCGTGGTATATCTAATTTGGTGACAACATGTTTGGAAGCTAATATAAATTTGATTGACAAGATTTTACACTTTTAAAAGGAACGTTAAGATAAAAGGATAAGTATCTTTTTCCTTTTCCTTTGTAAAAGTCTGGTTCAAATTGAGCGTGGGAGATGGTATCGACAAATTTGTGACGTAACGCGCAGTCTTGCTGGTTGCGCGGATATGAAATTTTGGACGTCACGTTATTTATCTGTTTTAAATAGAAAAAGTGTATATATTGAGTTAAAACTGTATCAAGTTAGTGGTAAAACCATAGGTTACGTGGTTTAGGTAAGAAAATCGGCTGGTGTTTCATAGTTTTTTAACTAATCCTTATTTTGTCCACTCAAAAAGTTAACGATTTTTCAAGTTTTAAGTGTAAGCCGCACGAAATTAATGTAGGTAAGTGTAATCTGATCGCGTGATCGGTTGCTAGTGGAAACTGATAACCTTCAATGTGTTTACTCTGATCGCAATATCAGTTATACCTACTACTTATAAGTATAACGTTTATTTTTGTCGCATCCGATCGCGCGATCTGAATGGAAAGACGCGTGCGGTTTTATACCACTCTGATTATACAAAGGATTATAAGTATAATTTGCCTGGAAAATGCCCTATTTTCCCAAAAGGATATAAATGGGAAACTGAATAGTTTCAAATTCTCATATTAAATAATGTTATGCTCATACTTTAAATATCAAAGTTAAAGTGGGTGTAAATGTTAAACGACCTTTCCACTTCAAAAGTGGAATTGTGATTTTTTTCAGTCAACCGTGACCATGGGACCTTTGATTGGTTTGTTTGAAAAAACAAACATAGGCGATTTTAAATCCGGAAAAATAGTTTCATTTCCTATGTGTAACAATTGCGAAAACCTAGGAACTCGATATGTAGTTTTTTCAAATGTTTGACTTTCAATGCTTGGTACTAGTAGCAGCAATTGTAAAAGACGAAATTTTGTAGACCGAAATGGTGGGAACGTTAAAACAAGAAACTGAATAGTTATCATTTTTCGAAAATAGTTTTTTTACAGGCATAATACATTTATAATCCATTTGTATGATCAGAGTGGAATAAAACTGCATACGTGAGTTAGTCCATTCAGATCGCGTGATCCGATGCGACAAAAATAATCGTTAAAGTAGTAGGTGCAACTGATATTGCGATCAGAGTGCACATTGAAGGTTCTATACACACCCTACACATACATCTCTACAGAGCATCAGAATAATTCGGTATTCCTTGCACAACTCTTAGCGATAACATTCATACAGACGAAAAAAATAAGAAACTTGTATAATTTCGTGATAACGTAATTAGGCAAGTACGTATCACGGACTTAAAGTGACTGTCACGTAATTGCCCAAATTAAAAGTGTTCGGATAATTAAGTACTAACCCTAGAAATATTCATCGAAAATAACATTTATATCTTCAATAATATAACTAAAAGACAGATTAACAATCCTAATAAAAACTTTCGTTTCTTTTTTTCAAACAATGAGTTGATTTATTACTAAATTAGATGAGGACACCCTAACGTCAAAATGAAAACCAATGCCAAGAGAAATAAGTTATTAACGACGCATTCTCACATTCGTGCGAGTGGCGATGCGAATAGCGATGGCGTCGTGAGCGGTATTTCAGCACGAGTCCCGCTTCAGTTAACAACTAGCGCCCGACCCGATAACACATTCATCTTGTAAAATTGATTTTTTTGTAATAATTTGTCCAATTTTACTCAGCAAATAATTAAAATCTATTGGTGACATTCTACAAAAAGTACTTCATAGAGCATTACTTGAAACATATTCTCAATAGTTTGGCTGTAACAAAGTTAATGGAGAAGTTCTTTATAAGTATCCGGAAATAGTAAATTTGTTATCTATACAAATACATACACGATTTTCACGCTCAACTTTACTTAACTTCACGCTCAACTTAGAGTATGGCACTAAAAAAATAATTACTTAAAACTACTACTTAAGTAGGTATTTACACGGTCCTATTGCAATGACACGCTATCATCCACCATCCTCTGCGACGTTCTTTTTTTATGTAGAATCTCTAAATAATTATATAAACTCCATAAACGGAGTGCGCACGCCGCTATAGCCTCCAAATCCTCCATGTTCAAATGAGAGTTCAAATAGAACATCCCACGAATGTGTGAACGGTAATTCGCGGCAGACACTCGACACGAATGTTTCGTCGATTATTTCGACAAGTAGCGATGCGAATAGCGAGCACGATAGTGTAAACGCGTTGTTAGGGTGGCACACAGAGTACTTTACATAGACCATAGATGATAATATGATCTGTGGTACTTTATTATACAGGAAGTGTTATCGTAAAGTGTGCCCGGGCGTTTTTTATTCTCTGCCCAAGCGTTCATTTCATAAATATAAGAGATATCAAAAAGCTTTACACTGATGTAAAAAGTTTGTTACGTAATGAGTAAATGGACATCAATAACTTTTTGAAAATAAAACTATAAATATCCAAAATTTTAAAATTTAACGCTCCCATACATTTGACATGACATTCATAGAGAGGCTTGACCTACTTTAAGAGGTAACAATAAGTTTACAGACAACAAAAGTGCAATAAATAAAGTAATAAAACTATCTTATAATTGAATAAAAATATAATGACATAGTGAATTAATTTGGTCAAGTGCGAGTTGTCTATAAAAATGAACAAAACTGATAATTTTTTTTATCGCTGATCGACTCAGTGTAATGTAAGGATCATTTCTTTGTGCGTATCATTTATATGGACAATGATAATATAATCGCATAGTCAAGTTAAATCTGACCAAATAATTGACTATGCGATTATATTTTTGTTTAATTGAAAGATAGTTTTATTACTTTATTTATAGCAGTTTTATTATCTGTAAACTTTATTGCTATAGGTCAACTAAATATATCTGCTGTAGGTCAACTAAAGCCTCCCTACGAATGCTTAATGTTAAAATTTTGGACATTTCTAGTTTTATTTAAAAAAAATGTATTGATGTCAATTTATTTATTAGGCGACGTCCTTTCGATTTCAGTTTAAAGGTTTTTGATATTTCCTATATTTATATAATCATCGCCTGGGCACACTTAACGATTACACCCTGTATACGGGTGGCTTCAGCCGATATATTTTTTCTTAATCTAACATCTGTGACAAATTATGACTTGTGTCCGTGGCTAGTGCAAACAAGCGCCTAATTTCGATACCTGTTCGTCCAATGGTGGACTATAAGTGCGAATGACTTGACTGTCTAATTTCTTGCTCATCGTCGATCGACGGTGATACGCGTGGATTGCTTCAAATATGAGAGTGTGAGCGATTTGCTCACGGTCTGTAGCACGAGCTATGCATCTCACTTGGCGCAGAGCGTCTAATGCAATGTTCAATCTGACTCGGCTTAGGAATTCGTACAGCCTAGCTTCTTGATCGCGCTCCTGTTTAAAAAATATATACGGTAGGTACGTTATAAAGACACATAAAATAACTAATCGTAGACAGAGGCATTCAAACAATTAAATTCGTTGCTCTTTTATGTGTTATATCTATTTATGTTATTTACCCGTGTATAATATAACAATAATACATGGCAGCAAAAATAATACTTACTAACATGTGATTGCCTATACATATACAATAACGCGTATTCCAGAAAACTATGATTTTGAACAAAACATAATAATATAGTGACGAATAGCAGGACGCGAAACTCTGTCGTAAATAAAGCACTAGAAGATAGGTGCTATATTTACGATACAATATATATATATACAATATATACAATTCGTATGCACTGCTCGTCGTAGTATTATGCAATACTGCGTTATTGTATGAAAGCATTATTTGTTTCTTCTATAATATTAGATATCTCCTACAGTGATATGGATACAGTTAACACGATCAAATTAAAATTTGGTGAGAGTTATGGTTCTGCGATATTCCAAAAAATCTTTTTTACTTATATTGATAGGTATTAGAGTATTATAAATAGCAAACCTTCCGATTTACTCTTTCCAAGACGGCTAGCTGTTGGCGGTGTACTTCAATTGCCCAGCCCCTAAAAATGTTAAAATGAAAATGTAAATTATACTAGCATTTCCAATTTTTTATATTCTATTTCACGCTGATGGTCCACTAAGCACATCAAATAGAACACATTCCCAAACAAGTTCGCGGCTTTATCTTCAATAAAGCTAATAAGTTATAAATATGTTAAAATTAACCCAGATTTTTAATGCATCGATACATTGATTTTAAATAACTACTTGCGCTATGAGAACGCACCCTAGTGTGCGCGTGTCGCGCGCAGTGTACGTACGCATATATTCGCATGATATCGCGGTGCACTCGCGCAGCATAAGCGCCCAGTTACACAACGGGAATTACCACGCTATCACGAACATTTATGGCGAATCTATAATAACGCTCACAAATAATAACGCTCACAATCAACATAGCCCCGCACTAGGGAAACCCTGTGTCGCGGGTGCCATGGACACACACATAGACAACCACAAATTACACCCAAACTCACGAGAGAAATAAATGTAGGCCATACAAGTATTTCTCCCGGCCCGGGAATCGAACCTGGGACCTCTGCGTGGCAGTCCGGCATGGTAACCGTTCGGCCACGGAGGTAGTTAAATCTGAATTTTTTAAATCTGAGTTAAATCTGAAGTTGAATCTAATTCTATTTACTAGGTAACAACATTTAAGTTCCTGGCCTTCGCGCAGTCGTCGCGTAGACCAAAGACAAGCTAGTCTCGCCCGCGTGCCTGAGATGCTCATTTAAGTTAAAACGTAAAAGCTAAATACATAGACCGTACTTTGCCATGAGAGATGCACGCAGTCGCTGCCGCGATGAATTTCGTGTCGAACAAATGCGCCCTAACGCGGGTCATCACACGAGCCGTTAATTATAGAATAGGAGCATTTAAAATATGACATCAAATAATAGACGTGTTTGTGGTAGTTTGAACGGAGTGTCTCAAATTTAGAATTGTTCAGCTTTTCATTTCTATTTCATAATCATACTCCATAATCAGGATACCAACCTTAGGTAGGTACCTACTGCATTAAACAAAGTATATTTTAATACAGCACAAGAATACTGTGATGAATATGTTACACATTTTTTCATTATGACCTGTAGGTACAATTAAAATAATAATGTAGAAACCGTATGCTGCGAGCGAAATGTAGACATTTAGCACCGAACAGGCGAGAGTTACCCTACTTCCTCCTATTATACTACTGTGCTACAGCGACGAATAGCCCCAACCAGAATACTATCGCTTCCAGCTTTTTACTAGAATGGAACAAAGAAGCTTTAAAGTATCTGCTCGCACCGTATAACCCATATAGCGACTTTACAGTAGTAACTGTTTACTTCACCATCGCACGCAAACCCCTAATGGCACATTTAAACCGGGTCGTCTGTCGACCTTCGGTAGACTACTCCGCCTGCTGAAGGCGACGCAGTAGACTCGCCATTTACACCAAGACGTCTGCCACTTTCGGCAGACTACTTCACCTTGCCGAAGGCGACGCACTCAGTCGCTTCAGTCAATTTCGGTCAGTTAGACCGGGTTAATTACACCGGGAAGCTTGCCGCTTTTGACCTGACGACTTGGTGTAAATGCGTCATAACGGATACCGTTATAACACATATATGTCTATCTTATACAGTCAAGAGCATATCACTGTGGACTTTAGAGCGAATTACGCAAGCGGTACAGTGACACACAGCGGCCACAGTGATTCAAAATTCATTCTTGTAACAACTTTATAACTTATGTATCACAAAGAAATAAATGATTTGATTTGATTTGATTTGGCATAGAAGTCGAAATTAAATCTTAAGTAGAATATGCGCGCTAAACCCGGTGGAGACCTGTTTTCTAAAGCCGGTTGTTAGTTCTGGAAATATATACTAGAAATGGGTCATTATTTTTGAATTATTTCTTTCTCCTAGACCTCGTGTCCAAGTAGGATTGCACTAACTGTCGTAGTAAATTGGTGCTTATTCTAATACTACTTATCTACTCTGGGTAAGTAGGTAAATACCTAGTTACTTATTCTAACCCTTCACTACGTCTTTCACATTTCCTTAGCTCCACGATTTAGTGTTTTCTATGTACTTACCTGCCAAAGTGAAGAAATTCATTTAGAATCTTTTCATCTTCTGACACCAGACCACGAATTTGTATCTCCGCTTCGTACCAGGTTTCGTTCAGCTTGAGTGTTAAGAAGTGCGAACATGCCACTAACATACACTGCGATTGAGAATATTAGGTATTAACCGGCAGGTAAAGGTGCCTTAAAGTGATATTAGCGAGATCACGGACTAGCATTAACCTAAACTAAACTAAAAGTGAAGAAACGCTGCTCCAACGAAATCAGTATTTTTTGACAGGTAGTGGTGTGCCGTTCACTTTAAAACTACAAATACAAACACAACATTTTCAAAAAAGCGCACAAATACCTACCACATATGCAATATCGATATCTCGCTAAAATCACTTTACCATCGGTTTTAAAAGTTACTATATATCAGCAAAGTCGATACGTTACTCCGTTCAGAAGTTCTTTTTGTATGCAGGTAACTGTTATTAGTAGTTGCCACTCGCAACATAGGTATTTGTTCTTGTCAACCAATGGCATTTAAGGGCTAAATCATATTATTCTTATAACAAAAGGTTTACAAAAAAGAGTCAACAAAGCAAGGGACAGGGCTACCTGCAAAATCCGCTTGCAAACAAAACTGTTGTGGGACTGGGAAGGCTTCAACTTTGTTGATAGTACGTAGTGACTCAACACAACACATTAATCAGTACATTAAAATCCAGTCCTATGATATCTTTACTTCCGGATTGATTTAGGAGATTATGGGTGACATAGTTCCCATTGTAAATGCAGTTTTGAAATATGCTAATTGTACTAACTTCGTCTTGTGGAGTCAGCTCTATGTTTTTGTAGAGTTTGTACGCCTCGTCAGCGAGAGTCACTTTGTACTCTAAATCTTCCGACAGAATGTGCAGAAGTGCGTATGCCTGAAATAAATTGCCTTAGTTTCTTGAATTTAAGTAAAACTTGGTGTTTAAATATCATAAGATTCAAATAGCATATGCAGCTACGTATAGACTGTTGTTCATTGAGCACAGACAAGTCAACTTAGGCTTAAATTTTTTTTTACGCTGTTGAATAAAATTACATGTACTTGTGTACATGTAATTTAAATGTATGTAATATAAATGTAATAAAAAATCTACACAACTTACTCACCAGAAAACAAGGTAAATTTGAAATAATATTAAGTTCATATTTTATTATATTAGGGGTTAAACATTGACTTACAATTATATGGACGTCTGGTCCGCGCTAAAAAGTGTCCGCACTTGTAAGGCGCTAAAATCGTATACAGAGCGCGACACTCCGCTTTAGTCTTCATTTGTTCTACGGACAGCGCGATACTGCGATGACATAACAATTTAAATTTCGAATAGGTTGACTTGGGACATTTTTTTCGTGGTTTTTGTATTAGACCCGTCGTCCATTTATTTGTAAGTCAATGGGGTTAAAGTATGAAATTGCCGTTTTAT